TTCTGAATATACTCTTAAATATTTGTTTTGTGGGTTAGCTCTTTCCTCTAGATCCCTTGTAAATATCTAGAAACTATATAATTTATGCCAGTTTTTCTGGTATAAATAAAGAATTCTCTCAGCTAAGAGAAGAGCATATCAATCGGAGAGTCACCCGGCAATTCTTCTGCCGGAGGATGAGGCCCCGAAACAGTTGCAGTTTGAACGTTGATCGCGTTGGTTGTGGATCGCTCTTCAGTTCGTCTCGGTTCTTGGGGGAAATTTTCTTGGGCCAAGCCAAGGCATCAGTGAAATAAATCTTGCGCGTGATCCAAAAATAACGCAGTGAAAAAATATCTGCAAAAGGGGGACAAAAAACAGAGCGCGTGCCAAGTGCTCAAGTGAAAATGTTTACGCGAAGAAGGCACCAAAGTTAATCAGTTCGGAAAAGAAGTGGAAAAGTTGTCGAAGTGATTTATTTCGAGTGTGTTGCAAACGTTACTGAATGAAAAGCAATCGAAAATATCGTCGATTTATTTGTGCAAACCCACGGAAAGTGACAAATGAAAATATTTTAGCCTCGACGCTGCCAAAAATTGTTTTGCGCATCTATCGAGCAGATCAAAGATTTAAACAAATCAACCGCAAATTGGTAAATACAAATATTGAGAGATTCTCAAAGTGCATAATTATCGGCAAGGCAACGTACAAATAACCCGTGAAAATTAATTTCCAAAAGAATTTCATGTCGATTTGCATCAATTAATGGATATTTTTCTTTGCAAAAAGAAAATGTACAAAATAATTAATAAAAGCGAAAATATACCGCATTTTTTGTGTTCATTGTTTGTCCAGAAATTAACTTATTTTTTATGAATATTCTGATATAAATTGAACAGAATATTGTGTATGAATTTTATACAATCGAAAAAAAAGAACAGGAAAGCAAAACAAAAGTGCCGTGTGCTGCTCATAAATAAGTTAACATATAAACAGAATAAAACAAAAGGAAAATAAATATTTTGAATATACAAAATAAAATTATTTTAAGCAGATTATCCGAGGAAACGGATTTACTAGATAGGTATTTACTAGATACGTATTTAATACGCAAATCTTTAGATATATTGCTTGTTCGAGAGCTTACTAGAACGAGACCTTTGCACAAAACAATTGTGTAAACAAATTGAAATTATTTGCTTGTGTGTTCCGAGTAGCCGAATTATTTAAAAATAAACATTTCACTTAATTTGCGTGATAAAACACTAGAACTGCACTGAAACGCCCACCCACCCACACTGGCAAAGTGCACAATTTTTGTGTGTGTTTTTCGCGAGGGATGCCAAAAATAAATCTCATAATTCGAAATAATTCGGTACGATCTCTTGCATTTAGCCGGGGTTTGTTGAACTTTTTGTCGCGGTTTCGCAATTTGCCCAATTCCAAATGTTGTTTTTTCAGCAAGTCAGCTAAAATTAGTTGCAACTAATTTGTTGTTGTTTATGTGCACGTACTTTATAGTCCTCATTTCGTTTCGCGTGTCACAAGTGACAGCTTTCAATGCGTCGACATTTCTGTGCTAATTATGCAAATTTTACTCTGTGTCCGAGGGATATACAATACTGTTTTTCCAAGGGGGGTTAAAGGGTGTTGCGGTAGGGGGACTTAACCCATGGGACCCCTACCGCTACGTGGCCTGTTTCTGTTGCCATTTGCATCACAAAAGCGTTGGAGGAACTCTCCCCGGAATTGTTGCATCGCTGGTGGAATATAATTTATGACACTGTCACATCTGGTTTGAAACTATGTCGAAAGTGTTTCGCTTTCGATTACGTTGGTTATGGATTAGGAGCCCCTTTTTTCAGACCCATTTAAAGTTTATTCAAAACACACACTGTCACATCACTGAATCTTTTGAAGACCGTTGAAAGGGGTTTCTTTGGGTTCATTAGGAAAGTTTGTGTATTCTTAAAGAATTTCTCTGTAATGACACTGAAATAAGTAAAGTAAAACATACTTTGTGCTCATGGCGGCACACCAATTGACCCACAAATTGTGTGCTTCGGTAATCGAAATGCCAACTGCTCAGCTGAGTGACTTCATCAGAGCCAGAAAGGCATTCCTCGAATTGTTTTGACCAAGACAAGTGGACCGGCAGAAAATAAGTGACTTCGCGACAGAATAATCCAAATCAAATCACTTTACTTAAATTCCAATTGCACTTTTCCCTGATTTTGCCTTCCAACTCTATCTCTTGTTTCTTTAGTTTTATTTTCCATTTCCCCCAGCTCTAGTTTCCGTTTGGTGCATTTTCCTTTTCGCCAGATGCCAGCTGCCAACTAGCAACTAGCAAGTTTGTCTTGCGATTCCTCTTTTATTTTCGTGAATTCTTCTATTTATTTATTTTTGCCTTTGGTGACGACATTTTGTGGAGTACGCGGACAATGCAACGAAATTCCGTGAATATTTTTGCTCATTCGTTTTTATTTTTAAGCACTTGGTGTTTATTTTGAACGCTGTTCATTTTGTTTAAATTTGCATTGACGCCGAGTTTCCATCTCCCATTTTCCTAGTCCGCTGTGTATTTATTTTTTATTAGAATTATTTTTAGTGCCGGGTATTTGCAGCACCAGCATTTCCACGTTCGATTTTAGTTTAGTTTTCCTTTTTTTTGTATTGTTGTCCTTTAAATTTGCATTCAATGGTCCCGACAGCTGTCTTAATTTACTTTCACTTAGTGGATATGTTAAGCTGAGTGATTGCCAAGAAGAGAGCACAGAAATAGCATTGATTTTCCATTTCATTTCGCTCTAAAAATACGAAAAAGCCATAACAGATAGATAGTCGTGTTGACTCAATTAGCTTTCGTGCGAGTTGTTTGGTGGGAAAATTTATGGCGAGGGCTGCCTAAGTGCTTGGAAAAACTCTACATTGGGTTCGAGTTTCCCAGCGTTTAGCAAGAGGTCAATTTTATGTTCACAGGCAATGTACCTTGACATTTATGTGTGTGTATCTTTCTAATGCAAACATCCACAAACATATATGACTGCCATATCCGGAACACACAAACACACACACACATAATGGCCATAAAAAAGTCGAAGAAAAAAATGTAATAAATAAGAAAATCATTTAAAAAGATTTTTTTCTTACTCTCTAGGTTATTTGCCATTTGTTGATGCCGTATGGCAGCGTAAGAAAATAAGGAAAAATATGATTTATGCTTGAATTTATTTGCTTATGGGATTAAAAAAATATTCAAAAATATTATACAGGTTTATTTATCTAAATTCTATTAATAAATATCGAGATATAAAATATATTTAAAACAATAGTTTTTCAATAGTTTTTGAAATGTATCTTTAAATATAAATAAGTCAAATAATATTAGCTAATCATGAAGTGTAAAATGAAATAGTATTGTGAAGAGCACACTTCTCTTTTAAATAAATTCTATTTATATCTACTGAAGGGCATTCACTTTTCGGTTTCCCATATTTCTCAGACTTTATTTTTGTTATTTCTTAAAATGTTCTAGTTCCTTTTAGTTTGTTGTTATTGTGAAAAATGCTTTTAGTGTGTCAGTGTTTTGTGATTATTTTGATATACATTCATACACACACGGCGACACATTCAAGATTTTCCCGCACACATGGGCCCAGCGTGTTTCCCCATCCCTTGGGCTTTTCTTAGCGGACTCGTAAAGAAAACATTTAAATTCCTTTTCATTTTTAGATTTTGCATTCGCTTTACTTTTATAGCGAATTAGCTCACTTCGCTGGCGTGTCGACATAAATCGAAATGGAGGCGAAACAGAGGAACCTAATTGAATTTTCATTGGTGTTTTCGGTTTTATGATTAATCGTCATGGGAAATCTTTCGTTATGAACATTATGGCTATGCCATTCAGAGGTTCTTTGTTTACGTTACGCAAATGTGGAAACTACACGCCACTAAATTCTGAATTCATTTGCCATATGTCAGGACTTGAATGACGGACGTTTGTTCAGCATTTCATATATTTGTATACAATATTCGAATTCTTATCGCATTCGGCATGGAAATCACTCGAGTAGAGTGTCGGAAGTTCCTTTCATTTCGTTCCTGTTCACTTCACTTCGATCGAATCGATTTGACAAAGTCCAGAGCCAAAAGGCATTCATAACTAATGGGCCAATATAAATAAATGACTTCCATCATTTCATGGAAAGTCTTAAAATAATATTTGAAATTTTGAAAATGAACAGCATATTGATTGTGTGCCTCACACGAGAGGCCCTTCTCTCTGTAAATGGGAAAGTGCAGTGACTATGGAACTGAAAGATGACTCAATTTGAATCTGAGGTGGCAAAGTTCATTTCAATAAATATTTATACACTTCGGTTTAGTTTTGTATTTATAGAAGACTATTTATCTTGAGCTTAGAATTATTAAGTGATTTTCCAGCAGATTTTATTGTAGATTTCATTTAAAACAATTAAATAAAATACGTTTAAAAGTGTGACAATAAACATGTTAAAGCCGACCCTCATTGAATAAACAAAACTCGAACACAAAGAAACAATCACAGAATAAGTGAACAACTTGTTAAAGAAAAATTAAAGAATAATGAAATTGTTGGACGTCGTCTTCAGTTTACTTAGTGTTTTTCACCCACATTTTCTTTGTGTTTTTCTTTTGCCATACAAAGTTTTGAAATACCAACGGAGAAGTGAAAACTTTCGCAGCAAATAAAATACGGAAAAAAAACGCGAGAGTTGGACAAAAGGACATGCTAAACAACGCAAGTAAATAAAGTGGCAAAAACTATTTAAGACGCTCAAGGAAAATCCATGTAAATACGGTGTCCGGAAAATGTGAGCGATTCGTTTTGGACACAACAAAGAAAACTAACTGCCAAAAGAAAAACAATTAGTAATACCGGAAAGCAGGCGGAATGTGAAAAGTTTGCAGGACCAAAATTAATACAGAAAGGAGCAGCAAATAGCAGGAAAAATCCCGGCAAGGCGAAAAGCAAAGCCATGAAGTTTCGTTTGGCAGCATTTTGGCTATTTCTGCTGACAGTTGGCGGCAATCACAAGCAATTAAGCCATGATTGCACGAGGGGCATGACCATGGCGATGGCGATGGCCGGCGCATCTGAACAGCGGCACAAAGGAAATGAACTGGAAAATGCACTGAAATTGCGTGTAACCTCAAAGCAAACTCGGTTTATTGGGGACATCACGACAACAATTCAACCGGATAACGTTACCGCCAGCAGCACCACCGCGGCATCCGTTGGCGGCAGATCGATTGGCCATCATGCCCTGCGGCACGCCAAGGCCGTCACTCCATCCTCCCCGGATTTGGAGCTGCATATCAGGGAGACAATGGCTCGGCTCTTCGCCAGCGATAAAACGCCCAGTGGCGCGGCAAGTGACAATCCCGTGGCCTCATCATTGGCCACAGATCCCAGTCGCGGTGAGGCGACAACCACACATCATCCGGGACGCCGACATGTGGTGCCCGATAAGCTGCAGTACACCAAGGAGATTCAGGTGAAGCAGGGTCGCCTCATGGGCATCACCCGTCGCTTTCAGGTGACCAGCGGCCTTCGCGAGGTGGACCAATACCTGGGGCTGCCCTACGCAGAGGCGCCCACAGGTAGTCGACGCTTTATGCCACCAGGTGAGTGTTTAGTAACTTTAAATTTCTAATACAAATTTACAAAAATCAGGAAAGCTAAATAATTACAATTATGATTAAATATAGACTCAATAATACGTTATGCTTATAGTAGGGAATTTTATTATACAAATAATATACTCTCCTGGTTAACCTTTTGTTTACTACAATAGAATAACATTAAACCTCTAGGCGTTATGTCACCTAAAAGCAAGTAAACATGTGTACACATATCATATTTGCTAGATTATTTATAAATACATTGCCTTTTCGTATGAAATATTTTGGCAAAACATAGCCGAAACAATAATAAACAATAAATTGTTTGTTTGCTCCACTTTCTATTGTTCCAATATTCCACAAAAAAAGAAGATGTCAGTTCTATTGAATTAACTACATACAAATGATGAGAATAGTATTTAAAGTAAGTGCAGAGGTGATCCCTTTTTGCAGTTAAGGGCACCACATGAGCTGGGAAAGTCCTAGCTATTTGGACCTTTTGTGGCCGCAAATATGATGGCAAATTGCCACTTTGCAGCACCCAAAAAACCTCCGAGCCCGAAAGCCCCATAACCTGAATGTGGAGCGGTGTTGGGGACACTCCTTGGAGCTGCCGACACATGCCGGCCGCATTCCGCCTGGTGTCCGTGTAAGAACATCCTGCTGGTCCTGGGGACCCGGGGATGCTGTTGGGGCACTTAGAATTTAGCCTGCAATTTAGGCAATTATCGTCGGAGCTGGCCCGGCATTAGGCTCTCAGAAACCTGACATGTGCCCTCTCCAACACACCGATTTGGCAGGATGTTGGGGCTTAAGGCACGTCCACCCTCTCCCTGTCCCTGTGTAGATGTGTGCTTCCTGTCCCGAATGGCTATTATTATTGCAGCTTGTTTTTACAAGGATTGCAATGTAAATCCAGGCTGGCCATAGTTTGCTCATTCATTCGATTCCTGGCCATATGCCGGGCCAACATGTTTCGGGACTTGTACATGAATATTTTGCTTGTTTAATTAAGGATGGGGAATTGCTATTATTATATATGTTTTTAATTTGTTTATCAAAACATGATTCATGTGGATGATGGCAATTGTTCTGGGAGATTTGTGGTCGCCAAGCTGCCACCAAGCAGCCAGAGTTTGGGGGCTTTGTCCTGCTGTTTTCGCCATAAACAGGCCGCAATTCCAACTGTTCGCACCACAACTTCCTCCTTGCCACATGGTTCTACAGTTGCACACTTAGAGAATGGTAAAAGGGTATTTAAAGTATTTATTTTAATTCATCATATCTTAGACATTTCTTCTTTAATTTGATTTCAATTCGGAAAGCTTTTCTGTAATAGTTTTTATAGAGCTAACAAATCTGCATCTATTGATGCTGATCAAGAATATATAACACTAAGATTATAATATCCTGAAAATAAAAGGAAAAATATACATTAAAATCTTGATATGACTTTGGCTTTCCGAGATAAGCTTCCCGTCATGTTTTTTTTTCTATTTATCAATTTCATTAAATATATTTAAAAACATTTTAAATCATAACTCTTATAACTTTTTTAAAAATTGATTTGCTATCGATGTATGTATACATCTAGCTCTAAGTCAAATGAATACAAAACCAAATATCGACCTTTTTACAACTAATAAGCTCCAACTGAATACTTTGAGTGGAGGCCAACTGTGGCATAGGAATATGGCTTTGCATTGCATTACGTAAAGACAATAAATTAACACGCTCCGGGGACTGTGGAAAGTGTTGCCTGCGATTTGTGTGTGAGTTTCCAGTTGCAGTTGCTTTTCAGTTTGCACTCCTCCGTTTGTCGCGCTGAGTTTATTGAGCACTTGAGGGTCGCACACTCAATCCGAGCGGACAGCAGGCAGCAACACATTGCAACAAATCGTTGCACCGCAGCAACATCAACAACAACAGCAGCAACAGCCACTGCAGCAACTGGAGACAGGCGGCAATGCCAAATTTGTCAGGGGAAGTTGTTGGCAGAGTGCCGCGTTGCAAACGTGGTAGCGGCAGTCGCTGATGTCGATACAAGTTGCCTTGAAATTCGTCGGGCAAATATCAGCCAGTGCAAATATGCTCACGTTGCGTATGCGTAATATGTGTTGTAGGGGAGGGCGGTAAGCCTGTCAAAGTGGAGGACATTTCAACCCATATGCAAACAGAGTCCTGTGGGTTTTGTTTGTGCACAGCAACCGAACAAATATAGAAGACATTGCTTTCGCTGCGAGCATCCTATTCCCACTAGAGCGACCCACCCTTTGCTCGTTTCCAAATTTATTAATAACAAAATGCAAATAATGTTCACATCCGAATATTGGATACGAGTTCCCCTCCCCCTAACGCTTAGAGTTTGCTCTTTTTTTTGCACAATAAGGCGACAAAATGAAATTTCAATGTGGCAAAGTGTAAATGTTGCATATTTTCGGTCTAACAAAATTTAAATCAGCATTGATTTGGGGGTGACTCTCACCACATATTTGATGAATAAACTTATTGGAATTTAAATTTCGTGGCAGTTGTTGGAGTTGAATCAATTACCGCGTGTGTTAATGCTGTTATTGAGTTGACTGAACCCGAAGCCGCACGCACTCAAAGCATGCTCGAATATGCAATAATATTTATCAATCATTCCGGTCTACTTGAAGCCACTTAATTTGCCTAAGCTCCAGCATTTACGGATCGATCGTAATCCAACTAACCGCAAAACAAGCTGAAGCCGTAACAATGTGGTGTCAAAATTCGAACGCGACTTTGCTGCTGGCACTCAACCCAGATGAATGTGCAGCTGCCTTCCCCTGACTCCTCCTAACCACCGACTGGGTCTCGGATGCATTGACCGGAATCCGGACTAACTTGACCCAATCGTGGTTGACCATTCCACCAACGATTCTCCGCATCTGCGAGCACCGTTTGACGTTAACTGCAACACCAAAGCGTAACCGCAGTCAACTTGGCCACGAATCGGATTCGAAATCGAAATCGGAATCGGATCCGGACAGGACCAAACACTAATACAGAGAGCCCCGAGTGTCCCTTGGCCTTCAATGGCACTTGTGTACAGGATGTGTGGTCTGTGTGTGTGTGTGTGTATACTTGCTTGTTTATGGCATTTTCAAGTGCCTGTTGACCGTGTTACATAAATACGGAATTGACTTTTTGGCCACACACTCTACTCCCAAAGCGATCGAATGGCTGGAAATCGAAGAGGCGACAGGAAATAGCGCAATGTGCTTGGCCACAATGGGTAAAGGGGGTCATTTTTTATGCATCTTTGCCTTCTTTAGGTCTTAGTGAATTTGCAAAAGAATGTGTGCTGGATGCAAAAGAAATTAATTTACCTTGATGTAAATGTTTTCTAATAAAAGGAATTCTATAAATTACTATTACAGGTTTCTATTCTAATTTAGGTATTACGTATTTTTAACCTCCTCTTTAAGGACTTCTATAGTTCACACTGATTTTTTATGCTACGTTTAACTATATCCCTCTTTTCAGGTGCTCCATTACCCTGGCAAGGCCTAAAGATAGCCCGACACCTTCCGCCAGTCTGTCCGCAAAAGTTGCCGGACATTTCTTCTCATGGCAGCGGCAAAATGTCACGCGGCCGACAAAAACACCTGAATCGTCTGCTGCCCTACCTGCGAACGGAGAGCGAGGACTGTCTGTACCTCAACCTGTATGTGCCGCACGACGGTGAGTCCTTGGGATAAATTAAATTCGCTGAAAAAAGATGAAAAGATTAAAGGTGTTGGGGCGACACATAGGCTGAGGACATTGAACGAAGGCGCTTTCTCTCTCTTATTTTTTAGAAGCGCTGAGTGCCCCCAAGCAATATGCCGTTTTGGTTTACCTTCACGGCGAGTCCTTCGAGTGGAACAGTGGCAATCCGTACGATGGATCCGTCCTGTCCAGCTACGGCGAGGTGATTGTGGTCACCGTCAACTACCGCCTGGGAGTGCTGGGTGAGTCCCATTGGTAATTTGAGATATTTCTTTTTCCATTTAACCAGAGGGATTGGTTGATTCGATAATCAGGTTTCCTGCGGCCCAGCATCGATGCGCACAATATAGCCAACTATGCCCTGCTCGATCAGATAGCAGCCCTTCACTGGATCAAGGAGAACATCGGTGCCTTTGGCGGCGACAACTCGCGCGTTACTTTAATGGGTCACAGCACGGGGGCAGCGTGTGTCAATTATCTAATGGTATCACCGGTGGCCTCAGGTGAGTAGGATGCACTTCGGCTGACATAACTCGATGAGAACACACTTCGGTATGTTGCACTCGCCGTAGGGCTCTTCCATCGCGCCATTCTCATGTCCGGATCCGCCATGTCCGACTGGGCCGCCAGCAATCAGTCGCTGCAATTGACCATGCAAATAGCCCATGCCCTCGACTGTCCGCTCAACGAGCATGTGGAGGCAGAGGATGATGATGTCCTGCTCAATTGTTTTCGCCATCGTCGGTGAGTAGTCCTCGACCAATTGAATTATTTAGAGCAGACAACGAGCAACATCAGCGATATGGGTGGCATTATAAACAGTCATAATGCCCGTTAATGCCTTTCAGTTTGTGCACTTGGAGAAAATGTTGTTGCAGAGTCAGGTTAATCCTGCCGATTGGGTGATATATTAATTCCAATGAAATGGTAATTCATAGGAGTTGTAATAATTCCTATATTTTGATGAGAAATATAAGTGTCCTACCTTTTTCTCTTGGTGCACTTTGTGGCAAATGGGAATCCCTTAACGTCATTAACGCTGTCATCTTCATCTGAATAGTGTCCTGTGTCATCTGTCCAGGACACTGATTCAATTCGTCCGCCCCAACGGAATTTGGCGGCTTTGTGCCCTGCCTAATGATTCGGTAAAATTTACGAGTTTGATGCGCCACGATGCCAATGGGGCGTTAAGTCCTTTACCCTCAGACCCATATAGCCCACAGGACCTTGACTAATCACGCATAATGTTGATGTCGATGTTTGGGCATTTGCATGGCGATTACATGTAATCTCCCGTGTCCACTTTGACCTAGGATCGCACTCGAAAACGGAGGCGGAAGAAGACGCCCATTGAGTCGGTGATGGATGGCAGTACTTCAACTTAATTACTTCTTAATTGATTAATTTGTCAAGTTCTTTCTAAGGTCCTCGAAGATTAAGTAGCGAAACATTTTCATGAAGGTTGAACTCCCTTTTCAAATTGCTCACTGACCTTCAAGCTATTTTACTAAATTATCTATGGCAATGCAATTATTTATTGATTGAATACTTATTACTGTTTATTGGGTTTTAAATCAATTTGAACCTAAATATATAACGATTAATATTTGACATTTAATCATTACAATTTATGTCAGCATTGAATATTTAGCATTTAAAACTTAATTGCTAAATGACAACATTTGATTACTCCAGGATGCAATAATTATTGAAGACAATTCATATATAAATTAAACTGTTGTCATGATTTTTATATACTATATTCTATTTATTAGTGGAACTGTAATTATCCTGCAAAGTATTCCAATATTTTCATTGAGGCTTTCGATTAAACACCAGTATCTCTCACTAAAATTTATTTACATTTCATATTCATTGCACGCATTTCAGAGGCTTATCCCATCTGAATGCCAGGCTCTCCCCTTCCATTAAAGGACTCGCCACAAAAAAGCGCTGGAAAACCAACCCGACGAGACTTAAATGCATTTTTTTTCTTTAGCAGTGTATGCGTGTGTGGGGAAAAAGTTCATTTGTATGCGTCTCACACAGCACTAGGGAGAGAACTAAAAAACAATTTGCATACGAAATGAAAAAAAGGCGCATGTAACTAAATATGTAAAACTAAATCAACAACGGCACAATAATAGTAATTATGTTAATTATGCCAACTCGCATTCACACACAGTCTCCCGGCAGACACAATGATGCAACAGTCGGTTCTAACTGCATGTGTGTCTTGTGTGTCTCTTTGAAAACTTTGTGCTTGCCTTCATGTCCTTAATACAAATTGGCACAGTAACTTGAAGATTCAAGCCAAAACTTTGGCTTACGCAAACTCATAGTGTATGCCTACGAAAGTACAAGGACTTCTAGGCTTTACTACCACGTTTATAATGGATTTTGAGCTTTGAACTATAAGAAATTCTCCCTAATGTAAAATATAAATAGTTTTAACTGAACTATTTTAAATTACAGTATAATCTACTAATCGCTTTTATAAAAACACTTCTTATACATTTCAATCCACTAAACTTTAATCAAATTTAAGTGCTTGAAGCTGAAGGTTTTTATTTAATATTTAATATTTATTTATTTATTTAAGCCTTTCCTTAAAGCCAAGTCCTTGAAGATAGTTTAAATACTCTTACGGAAAAGTTCATTACGGAATGTTTTAATGAATGAGCTAAGCTTTGGTTTTCAGCCTGAGAATTGCAGCCTCGTGTGGCAGCTTACTTAAATAACCGAGGGCCCGAATGAGTGTGCGAGCGAATGAGTGAGTGGGGCCTGAGTGGCATGGGTGTGGTATGGGAGCGGGTGTTAAATGAATGCAATGAATTATGCATGAATTACTGAGCAAATGTGCTCATCGCTTTTCCTACAAAGGCACACGACTCATACATCCTTAGCCGGGGCCGGCTTTAGCCACGGAAACACAAACAGGTAACAACTACTTGTGCAAACTAACGGAGGGCCAGAGTAGCATTTGTTTAACCCACTCATTCGCACACACACAGACACTCACTTACATAAGCCTGTGTATCTTTCTGGGGCTTAGGCATTCTAAATATTTAATAGAACTTTTACCCAAAAGCCTGTCCATTGATTCGAATGTGTGCTTTTGCAACTTGCTAATTTATTCAAATTATTTACTCATTGCGTTGGTCTAATGTGTTTGCCTGCCAAACAGGACCTGTGATCTTTATTTACATCTGGGCCGAGTTTGTAACAATATTGATACATATATTAAAGAAAATAGCAGATGCTCAGATTGCACACCTGACCTTAAAATGGCCAATTAGTTTCGATTTCTCCCTGTTGTCCATTAACATTTTCTGTCTGTTTGTGCAAATATTTTGATAAGCTGATTACTGCATACAATTGTAAGGGGCTTTTAGGGCAAAAAGACTCTCGCAATTTGAGCTGCCTGAAAGATGTGATTTAAGCTGATTGTTTCTAAACACATAAATTAAATGAAAAATGTGTAGTAAAATAATGATTTTGAAAATGTAATATTCATATAATATTCAGAATGTAAAATTCATTTTTTGCGCTTTTAAGCGTCTTAACAATGCAACGAAGAGGAGGGAGGAGTTAGTGTAGTGAACATATCGAGTATACGCCATGCTGGCCCACAAATAATCCACAGGCTTGGCAGTGCCTCGGTTCGCTCTGTGTAATTGACAAAATAAAAAGGCAAAGCATATTAAAAATTCATTAAATAGAAAGCAAGCAGATGCAGACAGTTTAAGCTGAGCCAGAAATACAAATACCAACTAATGGCACAACTAGAAACAGGGCTAAACTGGGGCATAACAAATGCTCGGTTTGCCTGCACAGGACTCGCAGCCAGTTAGCAAGGAGTGTGTTTCGCCAAGTAGCTACATGCAGCCTTAAGGAGACCATCAATCTTCGTTCCTGCCACCAGCACACTGACAAATTGTGCATCCAATGTGTATCTGTGTATCTGTGGCTGGGGCCACAACACACACACTATATACATATAACATATAGAGAGAAATCGCACATATTGTGTGTCTAACGAGTTAATCGCAGTTGCAGCTCAACTTGTGACAGTTTTGCACCAGCCGAGCTAATAAGAAACAACAACGGTTCAGCACTAAACTAAACTCTATTCCCCCTCATGAAAATCATAAATCACACAGCAGCGACAACGACAGCGATGAAGAGGTTTTCCCCCAAGTCACGGGCACAACTTTTCCGGGGAAAAGCTGTCCGCCCGAATTGTTTTAGCTTTCGCAAATTGTCAAAGTCAGGCAAAACACAAGCTCACGTAGCAGTGGCCTTTGCGGTGCAGACTTGGGCAATAAACTTGGTCATGTGTCGATAGCCAGGCAGGATCCAGAAGCCAGGATGACCACCAGAGCCAAGAACATACACCAAAGTGTTTGACCTGCACCAAGAAAAATGCCTTAAACTGTTCTTATTTTTACAATAAGTGATATATATGAAAGAAAACTAAATGTAGAATGAAAAAGTCAAATTTATATTAGTTTATTCTGAAAAGCAGTTTCTTGCTGTGTAACTTTTGCTTGCTCAACTTTTTTTTTGACTTTATCAGAGTAAAACTCCTTTAAAGTGCAACGAAGCTTTATTTCAACTTGAGAGTGTTTGATGGCATTGCATCGATGGCTGCATTCAGTATTCAGCTTAAATGGATTACGATAATGTCTCCTCTTCAGTGGGATCCCAAGGTGTTGAGTGAATTAACACCCCCAAACACACACCCAGAGCGACAGATGGCAATTTTGGGGATTTTTTCCAGCTTAGCATGTGAATGGATGCCAGGAATCCCTGGCATCGCTTCCAATTGAATTTTCTCTCCCTCCTTGGAGCTTTTTTGGCTCACAGAAAGGACTGAATGATTAAGAGGGCTTGGTTCTTAATTCACCGGCACTGGCATTCCCCAAGCAAAAAAGGTAGACCGAAATATTATGACAATGCGAACAGAGTTTGGTCGAAGGTTATACCAGCCCTGAGTATGCAGAATGTGAAATTTGAATTTCTACTACTTCTGCCTCAGCTGGTTTATTCCTGGTCTGCATTTTCCAGATAACAATTGTCCAACTTGGGCAGCCAAAATATTCCAGATTCTCGTTTTACCTATTTTTTTTTGTATTCTTGTTGCCCTCAAAACCAAACCAGACCTGGTTTTGTTGGTATTACTATATATATTTTTTGTATTCGTTGGTCTTTTTCTTAATTTGTGCCAATTTCTGTACCATCGACACTTCAGTCGGAGCTTTGGCATGTGGATTTTTATGCAAACTATGCCAGAAATTGCACCCAACTGAACCATTTCGCCACTGCAATTTTGTATCAATGCTCGGGATGGCGACGGCGGCGGCGGGTGGCCCAATCGAAGGCCAAAAGAGCTAGTCAAGCGGCTGGAAAAAGAGCAAAAATCGTAAATATTGCACCGAACGGAAATGCTTTGCAGGAGCTTCAGACCAATGCTATATATGGGTGGGTGTGTGTGCTGATTGTATTTCATACACACACGTAGCATTTTTATGTCTGTCCCGGGGTACTCTCTCCTGTTTGTATTGCACACACACACACACACACACATATAAATACGATTGTAAATCTGCACGAGTGTGCGTCGGGGAATTGGTTTGCATTGCGGCTCTATTATGGCATTGAATGGGGGAAAAAAATACTTTACGAAAAATGTCATAACTACAGGATGTAAGAGGGGCGGGAGTCCCACTGATAAGAGCACAGACGTTGATGGAAGGCATTCAGATGCTGGGGATGTAAATTTGAATATGTGTAAATGGGAAATCCTTGCGATATATATAGTATAAATCCAGGAGTTGCTCTTATTACCTTCTGATGGGTTTGTTAACGAAGATATCTCCTTTTACCAGCTTTTTTCAAGCGGAGGTAATACCTAGTTTGACTTCATGCTCTGTGTGTTGTAACTAGTAACAGATACTAAGGTTTATGAGAAGCAAATTGGTATGTCTGAATGTTTAATGTATTGAAAAATCCAATTTACTTTATCAAGAAAATATTTTATAAAACATTTTTTTACTGATACTTATAAAACAGCTTTTCGTTAAAATGGAGGCCTGTCACCGATGGTCCTCTTAATTTTCTGCGTAGTAATTTTGCAATACCCTAAAGACCATATGTGTATCATGGTGGCCATCTCATTGGCTTTATGTGGGCCACGTGTGAGTCCTGGCCAGGCCAGGATGCGTACGTGCCGGGGAGTGTCCGTGTCCGGCAACGAACGAATCACACATAAAATTTATTAGAAATTTCAAATCAAAGTGAAAAGTGACCGCTGTCAGCCGGCTGAGCCGCCGCAATCCCAGGGGCAGTCCGGGATCACGGAATATATATATAATCCTGCGTACTTTATATCCATCCGTTATACGTTCGTAAGACCTTTTAACGCATTTCTGTCCCGTTTCTTGTTTCTTTGCAGCTACCAGGATATCTTGCACATACCAACGGCGCTCACACAATTTTCAACATCATTGGGTCCAATTGTCGATGGACATGTAATACCAAATCAACCGTACAAGGTCATGGGGCATTATACGGAGCACTTCAGCCGGTTTGTTAAGCAATTCCCTCCCCATCTGTATCCACATCTAATGCCTTTCCTTTGGCCTAAACCTTTTGCCAATTCCTCTGCGTTTGATATTTACTGGCGGACCGTGCTTTGGGGAGCTGTCAAACATTCCTGCTTATTCTTTCCCCGCCCTTCGTGGGGCAGACAGCTCACCGGACTATTTATTGTGCGTTACTTGATTAGACGTCTGGTATTTCTTTTTCGATCCGTGCGTTTGGCCTCAGGTGAAGTCAAATCGTCTGTGAAAATCGAAGCTTCGGCTGGCCATTTAACACGGCAATTTTGCGTTGGCGTTGGCTCAGTTATCATCGAGCAAATTACGGCTCTAATGTCACTTGTTGTGGGCTTAAGGCAAGACGAGAAAAAAAACAATCCTCTCAATACCCGTTGGGTGTTACTTCCATCAACCTAGGTCCATTCCTGGCATATCCCCTAGTCCTATTTAAGGTCCGAAATTGGGTTCAGCTGCGGTCAAGCTGAAGGTGAAACATTAAAGGGCAATAGCAATATCGAATCTGCACAGAGAATAAAAAAGTCTAGCAATACCTACGGCGACTTATTGCCTTCGAAAGAATATCTATCCCAACTTTAACTTTTTTCCGTGTACACCCATAAAATTCAATAAGCCCCAAAACAAATAATAGGCAGGTCGCATCAAAGAGCTCCTTTGAGGGATTGGGCCTCGTTGCCCCCTAGTAAATTACACCCATCCATCAATCAATTGGGCAACAAGTAATAACTCAACTCCTCGCAGGACTTTTCCGCCATCCGGCATCCTCGCATTTCCCCGGAGGACATTAGGGCACGTGCTGCTTAGCCATTCAGTCAACCTAACACAGTATAATCTAATAAAATGCGTGATTAATTTGATTTTAATTGTTATCCTTTTGCAAAGTCAAACGTGTTTGACACGCAATACCGGGAAAAATAGAATAATAGCTGCCAGGAAGAGCCATTAATTACGGCAAACAGACAGAGAGCTCCGGCTCGGGATCCGGTTCCGGCTACGGTACCGGAGGGGCAGGTCACGGATAAGTTGGGAAAGTCCAGGGGAAGCACGTTTCACACGGAAAGTGTTGCTTTTCGGAACATTATCCCTCGCTCCTGTGGCTCTTAATCACCTTAATCAGCGTTGACCAGGGATTAAAGCCTTCTTCTTCGCCGCGTGTGGAAGTGCAGGAAAGTGTTGCTCCCGAGCATCGCTCAAGTGTCCGGTGGCCATTCCATTGGCAGCTCTATCTCTCCATTCAATTTAGCAACTTTTGCAGCAGCTTTGCATTTACTTTTATCGGAGCAAACTTTCCTGCCTCAACTTGAGAGGAACTTTTAATGCCATGTCCACGGCGCAACAGGAAGACAATGCCCAGTTGGGGGATTTCGAGGACTGGTGGGACCTCGGGCATCCAGGACTCAGGACCCAGGGTGTGAAGTGTGGAGTGGAGTGGAGTGGACCACTTTTCAAAGACGAGCACCAGTCGCACCATTTATCAGGCGGCGTAACAAGTAACGCCACAGGAGCGAGAGCTCGTTTTATTTTAGTGCTTTTAACTGCGTTTTATGGGAATTCATTGGCCTGTTGTTGTTCCATCCATGCAGAACGTGCACTGCGAGGAAAAGCATTATTAAGATAAAGGTCTACTTCATTAAAGAGAAATATTAAGACCTATTTTGTTCTCTGAAAATGATTTTATTGACTACCAGTCAAACTATGATTTCACCAATAAATTAGTTAAATTAATTATACCTAAAATACACACATCTTAAGTTTTGTTTGATGTTTACGAAAGCTACATACATACATATATATACATATATATATACATTTTGGATTCCCTACTTTAGCTTCCCGTCTTGTTTATTACAAACAAATTAAGCAGCTTTTATCCGAATTAACTTTTATATATAAATATGTAATTTGCAATCAAATCCTTGGGAAATTTATATATATTACTTTATATTATTTTTGGTTTCCTGCTAATATCATATATTTTGAGTGTATTAAACTGGTAAGCTAAACCAGAGCAAACACAAACTATGCATGTTGACCACTCGCTGCCTTCCTCCTTACCGCATCCTGACCATCTCTCGCTATCTCACTTACTCCAACTGCTCTCTCACTCTCTCTCACACTTTCAGTTATGATTTATTATTCGGCATCACGGAGTCAGAATCCTATCACACACTGGCCGCATTAGCACTCGAGGAAGGATTACGTGAAAATGAACGCGATAATTTATTGCGCTTCTATATGCAGAGCCGCTTTGATGTACGCCCCGATTTGGCATTGGCTGCCACGCTGAAGAAGTAAGTGAAATTTATGCTCGCTTTTATGACGGTGGGCAATGCAAATCCCAGCCCATAGTCCTAGCTTCGGGCTAAAGACCAAGCACAGAAAGAAATTTATATATGAATTATATTAGGATTTCTACAGAAAAGCATTGACTGTAGGGCTTTAGAGACATTGTTTGTGCAGAATTTATATTTTTGAAGTAGGTTTAAAGCTTAACGTTTTGGTTGTGACTTCTTTTCATAGGCAACCTCTCTCTTTCACTTGTTAATATCAAGTTCAAGTCTTAAATTGAACAATTATTTCCTTAAAACCTCATTAAATTTTACATATTATTTGGAAATATTCAAATCAATCCCATTTATTCCCGTGTAGTTATAACTTACTTTGCATTTAACATAGTTGAGGGAGTATGAGCGATCCGATTGAATGGTTTGCCTGGCTGTATGTATATGTATGTTTGTAAGTACACGGCCATATCGTTCATCTCAATTAGAATTGTTTATGTGGGGCAATTTGTTTGCTAAGTGCCGCGGATTAGCGACGCCTGGCTGAAATGTTGCCTAGGCAATTTACTCTCGCATTGACGTCACTGGAATCCAGTGGATCCCGGCTTTAAGGTTTCATTTCGAATGGAAATTTATTTGGGTAGGAAATTGCTTCAAAGATTTCGGATTTTAGATTTCCAACTAGCAGACTTTGGTCTTATTTAGAAACTCGTTGGAAGTGCCGCCATAAATTATAATAAGCGAGCGACTCAACTGATCCGGAGAGCTGCCACAGGAGAGCACTATAATGTCACTTTGCTGGCTACTTATTACTCCGAGCTGTTGACGTTCCCCGGGACGACATTACTTCGTTCATTTCGGGAAAACAATGCCAGTGACTATCTCATTTTCACAGCAGTGTCCTTTGGCTGTCGCCTCCTGCCACTCCCCCTCGCTCTCGCCCTCGCTGTTGCACTGTCTGCCGTTCAGGAAAGTTTTGTGTGCAATAAATAAATTGCACAATGCACAGCAGTGACCTCCTGGCACATTCCCCACCCACGCCCATTCAATGTCAGCGTTTCTTGCATCCTGCGAAGCAGGTCCTGAGCTGGATGTGTTTTCTTTTTTTCGGTGGCATTCTATAAAGTTATTTGCACAAAAGATGCAATTGTTTCCAAAGATGCACAGCAAGGATTATAAACGAAATGTCCAGGCGATGCAGCATGTGGAAGTGAGAATCCTTAGAAAAAAATCAGAAAACGAATTTTGTATGTGCTTTTTGCCCTGGGATTCAATGGAAATATGTGTGTATATTCCGAAGTAAATCCAATGGGCTTCAAATACAAGCTGCTAAATCGAACTATATTACAGTGGGCTTTATAAAGTGTTCAGTAATCGTTTGAGATTTTGTTTTGTTATTCACAAGCATTTAGTTTACAGCTTTACAGGATTTTGCAAAACGACTTAAATGTATTTTGTACAATGGGATGATTGGTTTCCAATGATTTATATGTGTCAATGTGAATAATTTTTGTAAAGTTTGTAAAAGGAATGCAAGAGTTTGATCAGTATTGAATAGTTAGAGAACTCTGTCTAAGCTATTTCGTAAGTCATAAGTATTTAAGTATAAGCAAATACGGGGAACTTTATGTATCAAACCGAACACCTACCTTTATATTTGTATCAAGTTTCTATGACTGTTCATTTTTGCTTTATAAGTAAAACCCAAGTTCTTTAAAATCTCTCAAAATATCAAAAAGCGTTACCAACCTTTGTTACCAACTTAAAATACCCCAAGTTCAGAAGCAGGAAGTGAGCCAAAAGCGTTCTAAGCTGCAGGCATTCGCTTGTAGCGGATAACAGCAATAACACCCGCAACAACTACAACCAAAACTAAGGGCTTGAAAGGCAACACTTACACCAACAAGAAGAGCAAAAATAGCCATAGCACCCATAAGAATAAACAACAAACAAGCAACAAAAAACAAAACACACACACAAAAAACACAACGACTACGACAACTGAGGGAAAAAGAAGGGACAAACAAACGATTGAAAGGAAGTTCACACAATCAACAACAGATGCGCTTTTTCACATACGAATAACTGAACATGAAAACTCTCCAGGGGAAATTGTTTTGTATGACGTTGCTGCTGGCTGGCCGTCAGTGTGAGTGGGTTTCCCCTGTCGGTGCAATAAGCTGGAGGGGCCAATGGAGGCGGTGGTATCCTTTCAGGCTTCTCGCTTGCACATATTTGGCGCTTTCTCACCCTTCCGTTAACTGCATCCCACTGGCAATGGTTTTGTTGTCCGTCATTGAATTAAATGGCAGCCTAGGTCCAGCACCCCGGACCGATGGGCAGTGGAGTCATTGACAGGCAGCTACGCTTTTTGTTTCGTTTCATTTCATTAGGAGTTCGTTTTTCCGGCCCAATCGTCTGAAGGATTGGGGAAAGTGCAATATTCCAGGACCCTTGCTGAGGAGCAATGGAACCTCGCACTTGTCTGTTGTTCGATTGCTCAAAACGACACGATTGACAATAAATGCCGCTCCGCAGGACGCCCTTGGCTCCCTTAGAGCAAAGGAGTTATGAAAGATAGAGACGATGAATTCCTTGCCAACACTGAAAAGAATTTTTTCCTACTGTAACAGAATACTACCTTTTCAGCGGAATGTGGGGCTTCTTTTAATTTATTTCTTTGAGCAGACACTGCACAGCATCCGGGAGTTAATTCGAAATTGCCTTGACAAGAAGCAGATAGGTATTAATATTTGCCTCAGTACAAATTTATGACTTCCCCGGCAATAGCTCTTGAGATGATTGCATTTCATTTTGCCACATCGTGTCTTATGATTTCCCATAATCCGTGCTTTGAGGCGCCTTAAAGAGCATAGAATTGCTTCCGCTGCCATGACTCGATTTCATTTTGGCCACGTTCAAAGCAAGAGGCCAGGCAAAGGACCCTTGAATGCACTTTTTCCACTGCATATATCCTCTTGCCGACGGCTATTTTATCTCTGGTGGCAGTGTCGCAAGTTTTAGGGGCCTGCTTTGGTAACTTTTAGGCATTGCACCACTTTCAACAGTTTTTGGTTTATGGCCGGACCCCCCAAAGCCTAGAGCCCAAAGCCTAGCTGAGGGTTAGACCTGTTATCCGACCCCTTTTAGCATGCCCGAGCCGTGTTTCCATGGATGCGTTTAATGGCTGGTCAGATACAGTTACAGACACTAAAAACCGGAATTTGGGGGCGGAGAGAGGATTCTCCACCCACACACATGTGCGCCCCTAAAAATTAGCTACTTCTACGTCAAACAACAACAGCACACCGGCCAGACAATGCCTTAAGACTGGAGGGGGCTCATAGCAAAAGTGCACAAGGAAAAAAATAGTAAAAATTTTAATTTAATACAAAGCGATAAGCTTAAACTATTGCATTTTGTAATTGAATAGAATGAGGTTTCTAGTTATTATTATTAAATGAAATATTGTAAGATTTACCTTTTAATTTATGTTGTTATAATCAAGTCTTTACTGGAAACTATATCCTTACAACCTGTAAGTATCTTTAATAAAAACAACACATTAAGTATAGCAAGCTAAGTACTTATGAGTATTCACAATTTACTTTTAATTACACGTTTTATTACCACCACAGAATATGCATAACATAAATTTCCATCTCGTTGGACATAATAATAAAATATCTATAAAATATAGGCAAACAAACTTAGGTCGCACTTTCTTTCGACAAAAATACTCCTCGGACTATAATTTTTTTCACAACAAAGTTTCCATCACGTCTAAGTTTCTAGAAATACGTGTTCAAATTGCCAAAAAGTTCACGTTTTTGCAAGTTTTTAAAGCCTAATAAAAGGCAATCCCAGGACATGGCAGCTCTATAGCGAGCTTTAACATTCAACTTTGACATTTATATACAAATTAAAGTTTTTTTTACAGCAAATAACCTTGTTGTTTTCAAGGAAGTGTGACAATATTTCGGCTTATGGATTCGACACCTAAAAGGTCTTTTCTTGCCGTGCAGGTTCAGTGCTGCATGTTAATGAGTTGCCTGGCTATTGCCAGAAATTGTTTCTGGGGCCATTGCCTAAATAGCTTTGTCCGCTTCTCAAATGCCCTCAGGTGGGTGTGTGTTCCTGTGTGTGTTTGTGTCGGTTTCGGTGTCGGTGTGGACCTAATTGCAGGTGTGTTTGATTTACACTAGCCATGAAATTGGCTATTTTGGCATTACCTTAGCATTCTTCGTGTTCTTCTAAACGCTTAGCTGACACACATTCAGCCAGCCAGTTGGGATTTATGGGCCCATCGAAAATGTCTACCGGTTTTCGGTTTCCATTTTTTGTTGAGGGGCAAGGAAGGGAAAGCTGTCCGAGTGAAAAGGCAATTATTTAGCCTTGTATCCGTGTCTTGTACTTACGGCCACAGTTGACTTCCCAAAAAAGTATTTAAGTCGAAGGATTTACACTGCCACTTTTCACTAAGGAAATGAATGAACGATGCTTAAGACTTTCCTGAAGCGAATCTCATTCTTACCAGAATTTCTTTAGAAAACTGCAAGTTTTGCCTTAAAAACCTAACTTGAAAGTAACTTTACTCTTACCAAATTTAAAAGTTTTTTTTAAATAATTCCAACATAGTCTGACTTATTCTTAGTTGCTATGGAAGCTTATCCCAAGCTTAATTTCTATGAAAACTAATGATGTAGAATTCCTTTTTAAGAATGTAATTTATTTACAGACTTTTTGAAAGAAATGTAAATCGATTTAGTTGTGCAATTTAATTGAATATTCATTTCTCCCCTGAATATACCGATATCACTTTGCTTTGACTGAGCTCCATTGTGGCTTATCTCTGGCCCATTCCTCAACGTCTTGCCGGTTTTTGTAAACTGTTGCTTAGTCGCTTAATCCCTGGCTTATCTGTCCAAGACACAATTGACCCAACTCAAAGTGTCGCTGACAGCTTTATATTGTCGTTTTCATTTCAACCATTTATAAACCGCAACGTT